TCCACCACTACTCTCTGGGTGCGCCCCATCAGCCAATTTTTTTACCCATCCAACTGTGTAGGCACCAATGCCACAGTCGCTTAATTTATTGATGAGGATGGGGTGAGAGATGGTGTCAAAGGCCTTCTTAAAGTCTAGAAAGACTACGTCCACGGCGACACCATCATCCAAGGATTTAGTTACTTGGTCATAAAAGGCAATCAGGTTGGTCAGGCAGGACCTGCCTTTGATGAACCCATGCTGGTTGCCCCTGAGCATGATCTCCCCTGCAGGCCCCCCACAGATGTGCTCCTTGATGATTCTCTCCAAGATCTTCCCGAGCACCGAGGTGAGGCTTACAGGCCTATAATTACTTGGGTCCTCCTTCCTCCCCTTCTTGAAAATTGGGACCGCATTAACCAGTTTCCAATCCCCCGGCACCATATTCATGTCTAGCGTCTATCAAGTTTCTTCTCTTTCCACTTTTGATAGTGGAGAAGGAAGAAGAAAAGCCATATCTGTTTTCATCTTTCAGTTCCAGTTCTATGTGTCTTCCCACATTTCTTTCTATAGAACTGGGATTTGAAGGCACTTAGAGGTCTTTGAGGAATTAGAAAATTCTGGATGCAAGTGTTTATTTCTTCATATTCATACCAATGTAAGACACTAGCAATTGGAATTGAATGTGCCCTAAAAAAATTACACTTGCCTCTCAAAGGTTTTCAGCCTCACCGTAAGCATTTATTAATTAGAACTTTAACTATATATATAGCATTAAAATGCCTATTCCTGTTTAGCAGGACAGCTTATGATGAGAAACCAAAAGGCAAATCATGATTCAGAGAGCTTATTAATTGTTATAAGTAGGGCTGGATTAATACTAAAATATGAAGCCTAATTGAAAACTGGTGTGATAGAAAGGACTTGGGATCTGGTTACTACAAGGCTGATCAAATTCCAGTATTTGCGTTCTGCTGCTTACGTTCCTCCAGTAGTTACAACAGAATCTAGCATTTGCAACAGCACTCTTTATCAGAAGAACTTATCAAACAGGCAAGCATATGATTGACCAGCTGCTTAGTGTTGATACAACCAGAATTTCAAAACATACCTGCCAATTTGAACACAGAAGTCACCACGGATAGTGCCGGGCTTAGAATCTGCTGGATTTGTTTCCCCCAGCATCACTCTGCCAGTCTTAATGACATTAAGACCTTCCCACACCTTAAAGAAAAATCCAGTGAGATTTACAAAATCCAAATTGTAACTAACATAACCGCGGTCAGTAATGTGTTATTTAATATGCTATAAATGTAATACGCTATGCCAACAACTTTATGAACAAGAACAGATCATCTCAACCATGTCGTTTTTTCTTCTGCAGTTTTCATTTTCAAAAACTCACCATAGCTACAACAGGTCCAGAGTGCATATATTCAACCAAACCAGCATAGAATGGCCGATCTTTCAGGTCAATGTAGTGTTCTTTCAGAAGGTCTTCTGATGCCTGAACAAAATGGATAAAAAAAAGACAAGCTTAGTGAAAGCATATTTAAATTGCAAGAGATTAACAGAGCCCTCTTAATCCTCAAGCATGCAGCATTGTAAAAGTGTCACTTGACTGATATCAATTTAAAATAAAGATTATGTATTTCAGTGTAGAGTTTAGTTTAACAAGAGTGCTCTCACCATGTCTAATTTATGTTGAGAAACCTCTTTTTGCCATAGATGTTAATAAATGTAGGATGCATCTGTAAGAATATTACCTTCCGACTAAAATTAGGTTGCTCAGACTCTCTCATCCATTTAGATATAGCTGGGAATGACAAACTCTCAAAAAAATAACTTGATACATCAGAATTTGATCGTTTGACAACAGGTTTGTCCCTGGAATATACTACATATACAAAGGACAAATATACGAGGGACATTTACATGCAGTAATTTCAGGGCCACCAGTTTGAATCCTTTCTGTTCAAATCTCTTGATAATTTCTCCCACCAGTCCCCGCTGGACTCCATCAGGTTTGATAGCAATGAAAGTGCGCTCTGAAATGCAGGCCATTGTCCTACAATAGAGAAAAAAAGACTCCGTATTCCGTAAGCAGGACACAAATGCAGCCACAACAGAAGTCTACACAGCTACAATCTGGCACAGCCTAATTCAGCTTAATTTTAGCTCAGAATAATTCACCTATTTAAAATGATTCAACCATATGCTGCACTGAATAGAAAAGGAAGTTTAACCCAGGCACAGCTATAGGCAGAGAGAAAGGCAGCTAGGAGGGATTAAGAATGTGAAGATTTAAAATAAAAGAAGACTACAGATTGTAGCACAGGTGTACTCCAAGCTACATATTGCCACGTTGCTGCCTTCAATTTAGGATACAACTCCCTGAAATACTTCTGCATGCATTTCTTTGATCTATAATTAACTGTCTACTGCAAACTGGTGTTCTGATGATGCACAGATTTCTTAAGGTGCTATCTTTTATTGGACCAACTCTGTAGTCAGGATAGAGTTTGGAAGACTGTCTTGCAGTTGAAAGCTTGTCTAACTGCATCCCAACTACGGAGTTGCTCCAATAAAAGGTAGCACCCTGAGAAATCCTCAACTCTCACATCATTTCTGGACCATTAGTGCTACGACATCACTCTGACACTACCTAAGGATGCACATCAGGCAGGCGTGTGTGGACAGAAGAATGAGAGTTACAACAGACTCCCCCAGGGATCGTGTCAGAGACACAGCTCCTGACCACTGCACAGCCTACAAGGAGTCAGCCTGGCTCACAACAGCGCTGACCTGCATGATAAAAAAGTAGCATTGCCCTTGTTCCTTCCTATTTGATCGGTTTAGAAACAGAAAGCGTCACATGCAGTCACTCGCAAGCTCCTTTGCTATTAAGGAAGGAGCAGCTGGAAGGGAATCAACCTGATCATCCCGTTGCAAATCGGAACCTGCAGTGAAAAGCCGACAAAGACATGAACCCTCCTATGAATCCCAATCCCACGACAGCTGCCCCGTCCCCTTCCAGCCCTCCCGAATTCCCCACAGACCCCCACATTCCTCAGTAAGCTCCCACCTGCCTGGCTGCAGCCGCAGGGTCGGGGATGCTGGTGGTTATGACATCGCTGCCCAGCTGCCACCCAGTGCTAAGCCTGCTCCTGGCCACTCGCCCAGTGCCCCAGGTCACGCCAGGTCTGATCCAACCCACCCATGAGGAGGTCCTGTGCAGCCCAGGCTAGTTTCAGTCCAAGCTGGGCATCTTCCTAGGGAAGCATTTCCTGTGAGGGCTGTAGGTGCTGGCGGAAGCCTTCTGCCAACCCCCACCACAGCCCCTGCCTTGCGGAGGTGTGGTAGGGACACAAAGCATGGGCTGTCCAGTTGCAAGATTCCTCTTTGTCAGATTGGTAAACTGAGGCACTGAGGGTCAGGAACTAGCCCTGGGTATCTGTGAAGAGGCCTTCCCCTGGCACAGGTCACTCAATATGCTTTGTGCCAAGGGCGTGCTGGAGGGTCTCAAGTCATCCTAGTAGCAGCAAACAACTGGCTCGCTAGGCCCATCCCTGCCTTGCCCCAGGTTTTGATCTGGCAAACATAAGTGATGTCCTGTCCTCCCACCCTGTCCTGCATTGCTCAAGAAAGGGAGAAGCAGCACTCATCCTAGAATCGCTTCTGCCACCCCTTCCTGCTCCTCCTGCCCCCTTCCCCTCCTCCCCCCGGGGATGCTACAATCATTTTACTAAGGACTAAGCCTTTCTACATAAGGGCCATGTTTCTTCTTAATCTTAGTGGAGCCCCTCAAAGGATTAACCTCAAGTGTTCACTTACATGGGATTTAATAGTCTATGGTTGTGTAATTAGTCCGATGTAATTTAGGATTTGTCCCTTGCGCTTCACTAATGGCTGTATGTAATATAAGCATAGTTGGCTGTTTAGTCTGAAGGGTAGATTATACACCTTTATGGGCTAAATAAGATATATCTATCTATCTATCTATCGAGGGAGAGAGAGAGAGAGAGAGAGTACAAGCCTTTGTGAACCAAGTTCGCTACATCAGATGCTGTGCAAGCAGGTGCAGAAAGCAGAGTAGAAGGGGAGAGAAATTAGAATACAAAAGATGAAGAAGGGGAGGGGAGAGAGACATGCTAGGAAAGCAAAGCAAATGCAAAGCAGGGCTGGGAGTAGACTGCTTGTCTGACTATCTAAATCCGGGGCAGGGGAGGGCTGGCTCTGGTGAGCTAGTTGTTTGCTGCTACTGAAGTGATTTGAGATCTTCCAGTACCCTTTGTGCAGAGCGTATTTAGTATTTGTAACTTAGGCCAGCCATCTTTAGAAAAAAGAATTGTATCCAGAAACAGCAAATAAATAGAAAAAGTACCTTCAGAAAATCATTGTCATCAAGCCCTTATTGCCCATTTGTACCAGTCCAAAGGTAGTCCCATTTTAAGGTATGCCAGGACCGCGAACTCTGAGAGCACAAAACTTACAAATTGGGCCCTCAAAATCATAAATACTGTGATGGGGTTTTTTTTTTCTTTCTTCTGTTTGCCCTGTGAAGTTGGAGTCTTTACATATGCTTGGGTCACATGTTAAGCTTTTCTCCCTAAACATGTGGGTTAGATGCCTGTAAAAATAACTATGATTCTTTGTCAAGCTCTTAATGATGACGTTTTAACCAACCCGTCTCCCCACCAAGTATAACAGGATTTGCAATAAGTAGGCCAAACAGTATGCCTTTTTTTACAAGAACATTTATCTGCTTCTCTACTATCTATTCTACTGTCACCAAAAAACAATAGGTGACAACTGACATATTCTGAAAATTGCCTTACTTGAGCATCTGCCGTCCCTTATTAGTGCATAAGCTTATTAAGTCAATGAATTTGTTTAAGATGCAAAAGAAGTTCATGACCCCAGCGTTGCTGGTGGTCTTGGTAAACCCTGAGTCATGAATTCAAAATGATGGAAGCCCAATGGACAGTTAAATATCTGACATGTCACTTCCTGCAGTAGGACACAGAAATTTAACACCGAGAAGTGTATTCTCTTCCCCAGGAAGCAGTCCAAGGCATTCTGTACTTCAGATGTGACGTTTGGGACCACATTTTCCACAGAGATCTCTGGGACTACACCTTCAATGTTTTGCGTGCATCCCTTGTTGCAGCTACTTCAGAAGCATGGGGTATAGTTCTCTTTCTAGGATTCTCCAAGCATATATTACCAATTATTTCTCTGCCATTGCAGTGGCAGAGTATTGGCAGTGCCCTTGTATACTCTGCTTTTCATCTGTGGCATGTTGCAGCGTGTTCTCCGTGTTTCTGGATTTGTGCCTTATAGTTGTAGGATAATGTGAGGATACGTTTTGGGAGTTTTGGGGAAAAGGCTGCCTGCAACCCCTCCAGTCCTCTGTTCCTGTAACATTTCTTTTTAACCTGCTAACAACCCTTTGTTAAGCATTTTTGTGATTGTGTGTGCTGTAATAAGCATACCAATATAGATAATAATCTGTACAGTATTACTGTCAATTCCAGCATTGCTAGCTCTCAGAAGGAAATAATTATGATGCCTCCGTGCCATAGCAGGGAAGTTTGGTGCCTGGGGCAAGCCTGCAGTGGCAGCCTGCCTTCACCCTGCACACAGATCTGGGAGGCACAGGCCCCCCTGTGCTTGCCCGGGAGTCCATGCAGTGGTGGGAACTGCCCTCCCCCTGCCCCTGCAAATGAGCCATTTGCAGCTCCATCCTGCACCCCACCCCGGCTGGGCAGCCCCTGGGGCGATTGCCCAGCTCGCCCCCTCCCGCTTGCTGCGGCACTGTGATTTACTTGTCCAAGAGTTCTCCTGAGCTTGTTGAAGGGAAGAAGAATGGTTCATTCAGCAGCAGTTCCCCTGTGGGAAGAAAATGAGGTTGAAAAACAGAGCCCTGTGGAATTAGACTGACTCCCAACAGCAAGGCACTTGGGTTGCTCTACTGTCAATAATAAAGAGTTGTTTAGTGTACAGTGTCTCGGATCTCAGCATTGCCAAAATGAAACAGTAAGGCATACAATTTTATACCATCCTGTTTACTTGTGACTTGTATATTTAGCTCTTGCTTCAGTTTGTCCTCTCTGTGCTCCGTTTTATAATCTCTCTTCCCAATTGCGTAATGTCTGCATTCTGGTCTCCATCCTGATCTTTTCCCTGACTCTTTCCTAGAACCGTTTATATTGTGGCTTTCTACCTTTACTTTCTAATCCTCTAACTGGGTTGTTACTTCCTGGTTCCTTTTTATTTTTCTGGTTGACGTCCTTGATCTTTCTTTCATTTGACCTTTAGCTCTATCTGATTACTTCTCTTACTTACTTTCTACTCTCCCTTTACTTATGTCCCATAAGATTTTTCTTGTATGCCTATATCCTCTCATTTTTCCACGGTACTAATTCATTTGCAGTGGAAATGCCAGGGAAACTCCCTCTCTGAGGTTTCTGATTTTGGTCCCCAACATTTCAATAATTCCCTGCCAGGGAATTAATTTTTTTCCTCTCCTGTATACAAAATCCCAACTTTTAAGTACCTGTTTTGATAGTCACAACTAAGGGATAAGTGCATCCAGCTCCATGACCCTGCGAGTTTGTAAAATCAGACATGCACCAATGGAGAATTTCTGCTTTAGGAGGACAGCTTAAATATGACAAGTCATTTTATTAAAGCCCCGTCAGTTAAATTATAAATGGCTCCCGTGGGTGTTATATCCCATAAACTAAAATAGCTTCTACCTGCAGACAAATGATACTCCGAAGGGTATGAAAGCATTAAGTGCTTTCAAGAATGATCCAAAAAGCAGAATGTGGACTCGTGACACAATTACTATGGAGTAACTGATGCTGGATTTTCTGGTGTAGTAAGGAACAGATCCAGGTTCGTTTCTCCGAAGCGAGCTGCCAGTAGTAGGTGCTATTAGAGCACCTGCCCACGAGGTGGTGAATGGAGTCAGTTTGCATTAAACAAACAGCTACACCGGGCAAAATGACTGGGAAAAATTTATACTTTATACAGTTACTTATTTTCTGAGGGTAACT